TCTAAATTTTAGTTGCACAAGTAAAATATATAACACATTATTATTGTTACATTTTTAAGGGTGTCATATTTTTTCGAGTTATTATTTATTTTATCAAGTTCGAACAGTGTTCAATACATAAAAACTGAGAATGCACAATTCGAATTTCATTTTTGCGCATCTAAGTTTCTCTCAAACACACAAACACACCCGTTCATTCTACTTGTAATATTAAAATTTCACTCGAAAGTGGGAAATTGAATTGAATTGTACTTCATTCATGCGAGATCAAGTATCCGAATTTGTACAATTGTATCGTTCACGGTGCAGAGCGTTTACAGCTGTGACCAATTAACATACTTGCACTGCCTAAATGGGAGCATTCAGTTTAAATTCATGCATTCTGTTCGACAGTATCCTGGAAATCTGCGTGCCATCGTCTTCGCAGAAGCGGAGAGAGCTCCGATTGAAACCGAGCAACAGAGCTCTAAATTTCTGGCTAGGCCCAATCGAACAAAGTCCTTTCTTTCTTCTCTCTTTTCGGCTCTTCTTGATTCTCATGGAACGAAACGTCATCCCTCTTGATAACTGTACACATTGAGGATTGAAATGATACGAACGAGGATAACGTTCGTTAAAATTCATTTCCAATTCTATTTCCCGAAATCTCTCGAGGAAGCTGTAAAATTACCCAAGATGTTACACCATGTTGTATCCACGTTTGTTCCATTTTTATTTCAACTGAAATCCGGTGAAATTAGCGAGAGTGTTGAAATCTGTTGAAAACGGCAATCTTGGAGTCAGTGAAGGAGAGATGGCTTCTCGTTTTATTTTGGGGGTTAAATGAGAGACCTCCCATGCTCTTCAGGTTCGAAGCAACTGACACTATGTCGTCGATATAAGCCAGTGGTGTCATCCTCTCATTAAACATCTCGTATTCTGCGGTCAATCCCATGAACTAATGAGATCGGGCTGAAGAAAATTCGAAGAAGTTTTCGTACTCAAAGAATGGAAAATATGAGGAGTTAAGAAAATAGAAATTGAAAATATAAAAATGAAAAAAAAAATTATACTGAATATTGCGGTATAAATTTTCACCGTCGTTATAAAACAAAATACAAATACTAAAAGAATGCAAAAGAAAGTTGCAGTGATATCAGTCTAGCTATCTGTGGAGCTATGCCAGGAAAAGTAATAATTTGAACATTATTCAGAAATTCCAAAACGAGGCTTTAAGGGCAAGAAAAGCTATTGCACGATATATATTAGTGACGAAATTCTCCACAAAGATATAAGAATGAAATATATAAAGAAGCAAATGTAAGAATTCGCTGCAGTATGCAATAACAGAATTAGAAAATCGTTTTAATGAATTGGCCAAAAACTTGACGCAAATCCTGTATAATAGAAGGTTGAAAAAGATGAAATTGTCTAAAACGTGATTTATCATGTGACAATCGTTATGAAAACTAAGGCAGAGAATGGAATTTGTCTCATGGAAGACGAGATCTTGTCCGATTATCTTGTTAAGAGGCAATAAAACTATTCTCGCGAAGAATTTAACACGATGACATAGATATTATTGTAATCTGTCAGTGACGTGATACAAAAACCTATTCATATAATAGTTATATAATAAATAATATATTATTTATAATTTAAACATCAACAATTTTTAGATGTATAATTTCAAGTGATCGCTCATTGATATGAATTTATCGAAAGTCAAACAGTTTATACAATCCACTGATTCTTAGTATCTATTAGTACTATAGTATTATAGTTTGGTTCATACATACACAGAAACGTAAACATGATATTAAGACACACACGTTCACGTATAAAAAGAAAAAGATGAAGGCAAAAATAAAATGAAGAATAAACAATTAGGAATGATTTCACAAAAAGTAATATATTTCAAATCAAAGATTTCGTTGCATGAGTAACGAGAAGGATAATTATTCCAAGCATGAAAAATGCGTGAATGAATGAAATGAATCAAATCATTGATATAAATTTCCCATATACTTGCAAAATTAACTAAATTTAAAATAATATTTTAATCATATATATATATATGATATATTAATAATATTTTATATAATTATATTTTATACAAAATATTTTAATCATATATATATGATATATTAATAATATTTTATATAATTATATTTTATACAAAA